GTTTTGATGAGCAACGTGGCGAGTCCAATTCAGACGAGTGAATGTCTATGACAACGAGCCTTTGCCAAGGGTCATATGCGAGATGGATGAATTGCCGGGGGCTTTGGGGACGAGTGCCAGCTTGGCTCTGCGATTAGGGCAGGCCATCTTCTCTACAGCCTCTCTCTTCTTTATGTGCTTGGATGTTGAGTTTTACGGTGAGAGCGTAATTTTTGGGAAAAATTGGGCCGAGCTGCGAGTTGGGTTTTGAGGCCCAAAACGCGAAGGACTGAGTAAATGGCGTGTCTGCGTCGACTACAAAACAGTCAACAAGGCGTGCCCGAAAGATAGCTTTCCTTTACCAAGGATAGATCAACTGGTGGACCTAACGACAGGGCATAACCGACTTAGCTTTCTGGATGCATACAGAGGCTACCACCAGATCGCCATTTCAATTGGGTTTAATGGGTTCTTCTTATTTTTCCATGTCTTGGACTCCAATTCTAGTTATCATTCATTACGGTGGGTTTGTATTCATGTTCCTTGTCTCTATTTATTTTCATTTCTGTTTTAGCTAATTAGGAATACAAAACAATACCCATGTCATATAATTTGGGATTTGTAGCAAAACTATTTGTTGCTCTCTCTCTCTCTCAATATATATATATATATATATATGTACACACACATAGATGTCCTAGTTGGGGGTGCACATATGAATTGATTTACTAAAGAAACATGGGTCTTTATTTGAATTGTTTTCTCAGATAATCTTGTATTAATATGAGCTTCTGTTTTATATAATGATTTTATGCTTAGCTTACAATGCTATAATTTGCCTCCATGCTAAAATAGTTAATAAAACAAAATAGTTCATTACATTGCTTTCTCTACTTTTTTTTGCACGTTTTTTTGTAAAAAATTAAACAGTCAACTAACATAGTTTATTTCCAAACGGGTTTGGTGATAATTTATAGATCTCTAATTCTTTAGATGTGGAGTTTATCTTTAGTTTGTTTGTTTGTTTTGTTTGTTTGTTTGTTTTTTTTTTTTTCCAGATACTTGATAAATTTACAATTTTTTTTTTGTGATAATGTTAAGTGCAAAAAATAGAACATAAAACATATAACGAAAATGTCTTGGGGTAGTTAAAATTCATTTTGAGTGTGATTTGAGATAGACTTAAAATAAATTTCATCCAATACTTTTATGTGTTTTATTTTTATGAGTCTAACACTATTATTCCAACTATCTAAAAAAAAAACACTCTATTATTCCTTTCATTTTACATAATCCAACTATTGTGAAAAAATTGAATGCAAAATAATACAAAAATTTAATACATTTTTTTATTTTTTTTATATTCAATGATTTTTAAAAAAATTTTGGTACAAATTATATATTTTTTTATAACTGGTGCACAAAAAATTTTGGTACAAATTATATATTTTTTTTTATATTCAATGATTTTTAAAAAAATTTTGGTACAAATTTTGGTACAAATTATATATTGAGTTGATCTAAAATTAAAAACTCAAAAAGTTAATTTTGAAAATTTCAAACCATAGAAAGTGAAAGTTTTGTTGACACAACCTTTTAAATTACTAAAAAAGAAATCAATCAATTTATAACTGGTGCACAAAAGGAGTATAAAATAGGAAATAACTTCTCTCCAACCCGATTGGACTGGAGCATGTTGTTGTGCTTTGTGAACCCATCATAAAACCCACATTGATAATCCGAACTGTAATGTGTAATCTTCGTCGAGTACTTTATCGCTATAAAAAATAACATTGATCGGATATCGATAGTCAATTGATCAAATCAAATTTGTGCCAACGGTAACTACGATTTTAAAAATAAATTGTTAATACAAATGCGATCTAATCAAGTGGCTATCGATGCCCAATCAACGTGATTTTTTATGAGGATAAAATAATCGACAAGTCCTACATATTACGGTTCGGATTATCAATATGGGCTCTGTACTCGGCTCAAGAGACCTAACAACACACTCCAATTGGAAAACCCAACTAGAGAAAAGCCTGAACTTATAAAAATATACTCAAGAGTCAGTCTGCTTTTCTTTATGCATATATGAATGAAAAATGAAAAAAAAAAAACAAAACAAAAAAAACAAACAAAACAAACAAAACAAACGGCAACTACTTATATAAAACCTAACATTGATAATCCGAACTGTAATGTGTAGTCCTCATCGAGTACTTTATTCCTACAAAAAATAGCATTGATCGGATATCGATAGTCACTTGATCAAATCAAATTTGTGTCAACGGTAACTATGATTTTAAAAATAAATTGTTAATATGAATGTGATTTAAATAAGTGGCTATCAATGCCCGATCAATATGATTTTTTACGAAGATAAAGTAATCAACGAGTCCTACGTATTGAATGGTTCGGATTATCGGTATGAGCTTTGTACTGGGCCCAAGAGATCCAACAACACACTCCAATTAAAAAACCCAACTAGAGAGAAGCTTGAACTTATAAAAATATACGCAAGAGTCCTCTGCTTTTCTTTACGCATATATGAAAGAAAAACGAAAAAACAAAAACAAAACAAAAGGCTGTTACTTATATTAAGCCTAACCTAATAAGTAGGTGGTTTGTCTACGAATTAGAGTGAGCTATTATGTTTTTATCTGTTTGTACAACCACTAAGTTGTCAAACAGAGTTGATTGTGGGTTTGTATTGTTTAGGTAATACCTTTAAGTGGTGTAAGACCCTTTTCAATGAGTTGACGATATTGACAATATTATTATGAATGATGATGCATATTATAATATAAATAGTATAACACAAATAATATAATTGGACATGAGTTATGAGTCTAAAACAAAGAACTTGACAACTTCACATAGTACCAATAATACCAATACGTAATGTAAAGATATTCAAAAAAATCAAACCTTTTGGAAGAAAAGCTCTCTGAATCATCCAAGGTGTTTGATAGTAGATTGTGATGTTTCAAGGTATTTAGTTGTCTTAAAGTATTTGATTTTTGAAGGTGTTTGAATTTTGAAAGATGTCTGTGATTGTTTGTGATTTTGTTGATGTCTAATGAGTTTGGGAGGGTATTTTCAGAATACAGTAAAAGTAGAAAACATGTCAATTGTTTACACTTTTATAATAGTAGTAGATGTTTGCATGCGTGGGTGAAGGTATAAATTTCAAGTTGAGTTGATCACGAGGCAAGTGAATTGGGTATTATAACAAAGATAATTTGGTGGAAAATGTCATAATGAAATGTTGGATTTTGTGACCCTGAATCATCCAAGGTGTCTGATAGTAGATTGTGATGTTTCAAGATGTTTAGTTGTCTTAAAGTATTTGATTTTTGAAGGTGTTTGAATTTTGAAAGATGTCTGTGATTGTTTGTGATTTTGCTGATGTTTAATGAGTTTGGGAGGGTATTTTCAGAATACAGTAAAAGTAGAAAACATGTCAATTGTTTACACTTTTATAATAGTAGTAGATGTTTGCATGCGTGGGTGAAGGTATAAATTTCAAGTTGAGTTGATCACGAGGCAAGTGAATTGGGTATTATAACAAAGATAATTTGGTGGAAAATGTCATAATGAAATGTTGGATTTTGTGATTTGTCCAAATTACCAAGTCAGGTTTTGGTTTATATGGGGCGGTGGAAACAAATATATGGACTACTTAACTGTGACATTTTTTAGGCTCATTTTCATGCAGTCAAATTGGTGGTAGAAAAATGAAAATTTAAAATCATATAAAATGCAAAGACTGAAAGGCTATAAGTTACTCTGTTGGATTTCCAATTAGACATACCTTCACTCTGTTACATTAATTTCTGTGTGTTTTTTTTTTTTTTGGTTGATGCGCATGAACTATTGACATCTATGATTCAAAAACATCAAAAGAGTTCAGAACTTTGTAATTTTGAGTGCTTGATTTTCTTGAAGTCACTTATGTGCAGTCTGACTGTCAGAGTCATTTGCAAGTTTAGAGGATGCCAATTTATTAAAGGCAATGTTAAAGATTTTTTGTATTTATTTTTTATTTTTTTTTATGGATACTATAATCAGTATGAAAGTTTAGAGTTCGAGTTTGATGATACCTTACATTATTTTGGTATAATTTAGTTGGAGGGTTTTTAGAATAATTTTGATAAACTTCTCTGTATCAAAGAGAAATTGCTTTTAGAATTTGGTTGGGATGAAGTTGGAACGATTGGAGTTCTTTGGGGTTAGGGACTTAATTAAATTCACATTTCATACTCGTATTTCTCTTTTTATTTCCTTATTCTTTTCTCTTGCGGGATTGCATACAGATGGAACATTATTTTGGATGAGCCTTATAATTGTCATGTGAATTCTTGGTACTTCAATATAAGCTTGAACTGGAATTTTTGGTTCTTACATGTTTGAGGAGTTAAGAAACTAGACAATCTTGCACCTTTTAACGCAGCATTTTCCTGGTGGCGGCATCTATAGATCAACCTTAGTCATCAAAAAATGAATCTGTATTTTATGTAGGTGTCTGTGAATGTAAACCTGGAAGTCTGTACTTGCCACTAGAACCCAATAATTTGTCCTGTTTTGGTTGCCTAATTCATTCAGAAAAAGGGATAGATTCATGTGCATTATCTTGTGTACTTGTTCAGTGAGTAGCTTTTTCAAGGAGTGTTGCTGGTTTTTAATTATTGGTTCCGAGTATTAGTCAACCTGTTTGATTTTGTTTTCATTTTCTTCGTTTCCATTTTTCATCTTTTGGGAAACCTAAACAATGTAAAGCTCAAAAAACACTGCCTGTTCACATCTCATTTTCATGTTCGTGCAACAATAGATTTCAAAAATTCCAACATAATTTTTTGATGTTTTCTTAAAAAGTGGATTGTTTCGGAAAAAAATTCAGTAAATGAAACACAATCAAACAGAGCGAGTATTTGTTATTTTGTTTCTAAACACCCCAGGACTTGTGCTTACTTTTGTTCTTCCTTGAAATTGGCATTATATTGTTTGAAAGGGTGACCGTGATGGGTGAGATATCAAAGCTGTGGTTGTGCAAAATCACAAAGAAACCCTTAGGCTCAAGTAGGGTAAAGGGTTGGAATACTCCTAGCACGAGATGGACAACTAACAAGAAATTGGGTCAAGGGTAATTTAGTTTTTAAAATTACTACCTAGACAAATATCTCCATTGAACACTGAGTTACGGGTATTATATTTATACATTTAGCTATTGGCGTTAGGGAGTTTGTAGCTAGAGTTAATAAGATCAAGGCATTGCTATTTTGGATATGGTTTTTGAAATTTTTAGTTTGGAAGAAGGGGACCCTTTTGGCATTCTAATCTCACTATGTGAAGCTCGTATGGATGGAGCCTAATTTGTTTACACTTCTAGGTCCTTTGATTTTTTTCTTCTAGTCTTATTTATGGTGAAATAAAGTTCTTTTTACCAAAAACCCTCTAATTTTGTAATTGTTCATGTTATCTTTGCAGCTTCTAGGTAACAATCATGGGTTTAGTGATCCCATGGAGCTTGACATTTGCACTGGTGGATGTGTATTCTATCGTTTATAAACGTCCATCTCATCAGCCTGGAGTAATGTCAGTCATCATCATAGGAGATTGGGTACGCTCTTTTTTCCATTCCTTAGTGACCTCCCACAAAATATCATCTTCTTCCAAACTAAACACGATATTGTCATGCAACTTTTACAGGTTCTCTCATTTCCGTCGCTGGCTGCAGCCTGCTCGACAGCTAGTGTGACGGATGTCATGATCGATAAAACCTTCTTATGCAGTGTACAGATGTGCAGTAGATATCAACTGTCTGGTGCCATGGCCTTCTTGTCTTGGTTACTCTCATTAGCCTCCTCTCTCATCAATCTCTGGCTTGTCCCTTGTCTGTAATTTGTATATTTGCCGGGTTGTATTGCCATGGGTAGAAAAATACATTAAAATGGGCTAGATTAAAATTTGATACTATTGTACAATGATAGTGGTCAATCTTTACAGGAAATCTTGAGTGATAAAATTAAATTTTGATTTTCACAGAGCTTGGTGAGCTCAAACTTAATCTAATGTAATATAACCCTTGGTACCAAAATTTTAATTTAAATCTTCCAAGTGTGCAGTTCTCGATTATTGTTTTCAACAGAGTAGCATGCTATAACTGTAGGGTCTTGACCTGATAACGGTTTTTCCTTTTTTCTTTTGTTTGTTTGTTTGGTTTTTTTTTTTTATTTATTTATTTAAATTTTTTATCATGGATTTCATGAGATATCTGTTATTAAAATGTGGCACATAAATATAGTTATCATATAACGTTTTTATTGAACACAAAGAATGACATTAAGGCTTCTTTTGATGTTGGCTTACAAGCCAGGTTTATTTTATTTTATTTTATTTTAATTTAGGGCAAATTACATATACACCCCTCGAGGTTTGGTAAAATTACAGATACCCCCCTGAGGTTTCGGAAATTACATCCCGCCCCCTGAGGTTTGTATTTTCATAACAATTTACCCCCTGAGGTTTATATTTCATAACAAATTACCCCCTAATTTCTTATGTAAATATAGCATTCAGGGGGGAATTCGTAATTTCTCAAACCTCAGGGGGGTATTTGTAATTTAGCCAAACCTCGAGGGGTGTATATGTAATTTGCCCTTTAATTTATCACTTTAAAAACACCAACTTTTCCTAAAAATTCCCAACTTTTTTTGGCTTTTAGTTCTTAGTTTTCTGGGCAATCAAACAATTGGAAAACTGAACAAGGGTAAATGAAAGGAAAAAAATATCCTTCTCCCTTTCTGGGCAACAAAACAGTCACCAAACTAATAATTATTCAATAGCACAAAGAATAAACCAAACTCATTTAGGATAATATAGTTTTTATTTTATTTTTTAAGATGGAGATATTTCTACCCCTTTTCTAATTTGGTATTGCCCAGATAATATCTTGTAGTGAAGTAAAATAACATATTTTAATTATTCCAAATTCTAGCTTAGTACCGATTGCAATTCAACTTCTTATAAATAAAGTATTCCTAATCCTCCCTTAGTTTGGATTTATTGCTCATCCCATTATTATAAATAAAGCATTGCCTTGTGTTGTATTACATCGTGTATGCATTCAGAATCAAGAAAATCAATCAATCGATTTATTTAATTTAATAGACTCACATGTCGAATCAGGGTTTAGGTATGTTCATCTCACTTTATGTGATTTACTGTTGCTTTGTGTATATCACGGATTTCCGATTATTTTTTCTATTGTAAAACAACTCAACTTCTCTCTTGTTCATTCAGTTCAAGTTCTATTTTGATTTTTAATAATTCAAACTGTTTATTTTTTAACCTTTTATGTGTCGATTATTTATACGTAAAATTAAATTGATCAGATAATTTATCAATAAATCTCAAATGTTAAATTTATGAACCAATTGGTCCTACGGTTATTTCTATTGTTCTGATTAGTTCTATTAGTGGGGGAATATCTTATCAGTTGATCTTATTTCCTTTGTTTGGTAACATTGAGTGGTCAATTATATCCTTCATTATGTGTGTCACGTGACACACATCATTCCAAGGCAAAAAGTATAAAGAGCCTTAGCGTACTTTGTTGATGTGTGGCACCCACCGATCTTGTTGATGTGTGGCCTTATTGTACTTTGTTGATGTGTGGCACCCATTGTGTATGTCACGTGACATATTGTGTGTGTCACATGACACACCCTCATAAAGAACTTTAGTGTACTTTGTTGATGTGTGACACCCAAAATGAGGCATTAAGGTCCTTCAAAATATCCAAAGACTAAACGGTTTATTAGAAAAAAATTGGGACCAATTGATTCATAAGTTTAATATTTGAAATTTATTGATAAATCTCCCTAATTAAAAACAAATGTAATAATTATTGTTGCATGATTGCATCACATTCCTTTTTTAATCCCTCGTAAAAACGAAGTGACATGTGATCAACCTGCCTTAAAAAAATTTAAACAAGAAAGAAAAATAAAAAGAAGCAGAATGCATTGGTGCTGTTAAATTGAAACGTATTGTTTTATTTTATTTTTTTTCAGCAGAAGCGATTGGCGGTTGTGAGTTCCATAATTCCTTAAAATGCAAGTACTTTTGCATTGACTGCATGGGATCTTTCTGTGAACAATGTATGAAAAAATCCAAATTACACGAAGGCCACCAAATTATCCAAGTAAGTCCTTTTACAATAAATATTTTTCTTTTCTTCCTCTTCTCTACCTATTTTATTATTATTCTCAAAAGTTACAAATATCAATTTTTTTAGAATAAATCTATGCATAAAATAGATAATTTTTATCAAATTATTTTATAAAAAAAGGAAGCATTTGCACACAAGTCCTAATTTATAAACTTATATTCCATTAAGTCTTAACTAAGATTTTTTGTATTTTCAAATCTCATTAAATTTTTTATAGTTGAAACTACCCTTTAAACAATAATTATTCATCATTTATAATTATTTATAAAGGAATATGATGATTTGACATTTATTTTGATTTTCAAAACTTTAAAATATCAACTTTCAAATTGAAAAAACTAAAATATATATATGTAAAAAAAAATATTTAAAAAAATTAAATTATTTTTTTTGTGCAAAACTGAAATTTTTGTGTTTATAAAGAAGTATGATGATAGAACATTGATATGCAAAACTAAAAAAAAAAAAAAGGCTTTAAAGATGAAAAAAACTAATAATGTTTTCAGTTTTAAAACTGATAATCTTCTCGATTTTATTAGATAGTTGAATTAAACTAATAAATAAAAGGACAAAAACGTTTAATCTCATACTCTGTTTTTTTCATCAATAGGTGAAACAATTATCTGGAATATTACTATATAAAATTGATAATGTTCTTAGTTTTAAAATTCGGAAAAACTAATAATATTTTCAATTTTACTAAATAATACTTATTGGTTCAAAAAATCTTATATAAGATCCGAGCTACTATAACATTTATAAATAGGATTTTAAGTAATTAATTCATAAAAAAAAAGTGATAAAAAAATATGTTTACGTATAATTTTTTATTTTTTTTGGTTTTTTTTTTTAAAGTTTTTATGGTGTTAAAAGTAATTTGAATTTGGTTCGGTGTTGTAGATTAATGCTAAGAAGAGGCGCAAGCTGGACTGCACAAAGAAAAGACACAGAAGAAAAGGAATACCCCGTCGAGCTCCATTCTTTTGAAGTTTGTGTTCATATTGTTATATAAAAACCTGAAAAGTAAAATAATTTGTTTGGTTTCGTTTTAGAGTAATAATTTGAGTATGAAATTATATTTTCAGTTTTGAATTTATGAATCATGATTTAAAAAAAAAAATTTTGTTTGCTTCTAAGTTTTGAAAATAATTTTGAAATAATTTGTAATTTTTTTTTCTTTTTTGATCGATTGATGTATAAAATATAAGAGAATGTGAGAGGAGAGAGGAGAGAGGAGAGAAAAAAATGATTAATTGATTGATTAATAATAAAAAAAATAAAAAAAAGAGAAAAATTTTGAAAGTAATTTTAAATTATATTTTAAAAATATATTTAATTACTATATTTCATTTAAATCATAATTAAAAATAAAATCATGATTTGAAAACCAAATGCTACCTTGAATTTACTGCAAAAATATGCATGCATGTGCAACCAGGTTTAGCCTCGGTTCGGCATTCATCTTGGGGTTAAATAATCACAAAAAATAAAATTGGCTATAAAAATTAATAAGATAAAATACTACTTTTTCATAATCATTATATTTTTTTTTCATAAAAATTAAAAAAATTTCAAAACAAAAATCAAACAAGACTAAAAAAACCAAGCTAAAAGAGTTCTAACATAAAAAAAAATTAACTATATTAGCGAGCGTCAAATGAGCACTGATGAGATTTGGGGAATATCAAGTACTTTTTTCTTTATATGGACTTTTCTTAAGTGTGCAACTTACACCTTACACTTACGCCTTTCTGTTTTCTGTCTTGTTTTATGTTTACACTTTCCACTTACACCTTTTGTGTTGGTTGCATATGGTGTGCAACCTTAACAGCACCCTCTTTATATATATTACTCAAGATTTAAGAATTTTGTTTTATGACGTAAGATTTGATTTAAGTTTGTTTTATAAACCACTTTTTGTTTCGTTATAAAACTAGTGAAAATCCGTGTAATATTCGCGATGTGAAAAAATTAATAAAATATATTTATATAAAATAATATAAATAGTTAGATTTTTATATGCATATTATAAAAATTAAAAAATATTGAAATTTATAATTTAAATTTCAAAATTTTATCATAATTTATATATTAATTTTTAATTTGTCATAATTTTAATTATTTAACTTTCAATTCCCTTGCTAGAGTTGTAAATTTGAGCGAGTTGAACCCAAGTAACTTGAGTCAAATTTGTAAATTTTTAAAGTTTGGATGACATAATTTTTAATTCGGTGCAAACCTATTTAAAAATTCGAATAGATTTGAATGGTCTTGGACAGAGATACCAAATAACTTGAGCAATTAAAACAAAATTGTATATATAAATATATAAAATTATTTGTTAATTTAATTTTTAATAATAAATAATATTAATTAAAAATTAAATATTAATGAATAAAAATAAATACACCTTTTAGAAAGAGATCATCAAATAAGTTGATATTAAAAAAAAATTAAATTTTATAATGAATTACAATAAAATATTTAAATATAATAAATTAAAATTCTTACAAAATAAAAATATATGGATAAAAAAAATAAAAAGTTAAAAAAAAAATTAGAATTATACTATCATAGATGATCAATAAATTATCATCTATAACTCTCACTTTTTATAAATAAAAAAAAATATTTTACGAACCATCGCTTTTAATAGAAAAATAACATGTATTTCTATTTATTTTTAACAAAAGTCACTTTTTAGCAATTTGAACAAAAAAATTTTCATTTTTTATTTTAGTAATTGAGATTAAAAAAAAAATTAACAGAATCTAACAAGTTTCGCAAGTGCTGAAAAAGTCTAGATAATCAATAAGGAATGGGGAACAACTCCCTTGTTACAATGATGCGGTATTATATGTGTCAACTCTTAATTTGCTATATACTCAATAGCATGGGGCATAACTCCA